GTGTGTGTGTGTGTGTGTGTGTGCGTGTGTGTGTGTGTGTGTGTGTGTGTGTGTGTGTGTGTGTGTGTGCTGGAGGGGGTGAGGGCGGGTCTGGGTTAGTTATGGTAGAAGCAACAACAAACGAAAAAGTGGGTTGTGGAGGGGGGGGGGGGGCTTTAAACATTTCTATAACACGTATCTGAAAATGACATAACATGCGTAACTGATGTGCGGCATGTTGTAGCTGGTGTCCGGCACGTTGACCAAAGACTTTTTTACCCTGCAGCAAAAGTGTGGAGGAATTGTAGGCGTTTGCGTGTTACTTGTAACATGTAAATGAGATAGGCAACGCACAGGGTAGGGATTGATCTCGTGACCATAATTCAAGAAGACACGTTGTTGTTTTTGGCTTGCATAAATGAATACCTAAGGCTGATGGGACTGGTGTTGAGTGTCGGTTGTTAATCAAACTACCTCTTTCCTTTCACTACGATTTATACCCATCTATTAAGTGGAGATGTCATTAATTATGTCAATGACTACAGATGGACAGAGAGGGATGAAAGACTGTTTATTTAGTTTACATGTGTTATACACCATAACATTATGCTCCATGCAAATACCCCACGGTGTCTGTGCGGGATTTGATATATTATATAGCTCTGCTGTCCCCGTGGTTTTATGCACCCCGCATAATTTAGCAAAATTTGATTATTTTTGCATAGTTTCTGATTACTTTCCTTTATCATTGTTGTTAAAATTAACAGAATCACATAATTTCATATTTTTGGGCTCAGTTTGCATAAGTTCAGAATTTTTCTGGCATAAAACAACAAGGGCAGATACAGATCTATAGTATATATATATATATATACATATATATATATATATATAAAAAAGTATATATATATATATATATATATATATATATATATATATATATAAGTATATATATATATTTATTTATATATATATATAATATATTGGTAAGTGTTTTACGGCGCTCACAACTGCATAAGGTCATATTAATAAGCGCGCGGGACACACCTAATACTTTTAGTTGGTAGTAAACTTTTGAATTTTGCCCGGGTGGCGGCCGAAGCCTACTCTTATCGATTTTAGACCACCAAGGGATCTTTAACGTGCGCAACTTGCACACGGCCCTCCGAGTTTTTTCGCCCTTGTCCGAGAAGGCTAGGTGTAGATATTTCCTACCAGAAGATCAGGGGTGTGGCAGAAAGACAGCTGTAAGAAGGAGTCAAGGAGTAGCTGTAGAAAGGCTGCAGAAAGAGTCAGGAGCCCAGAGGAGGGGCTAAGAAGGTGAGGAGGTGGGGGCAGAAAGAGGAGACGAAAGCAGACGACAGAATATTGCTAGAAAGCAGGCAAGGAGGTGAAAAGGGACAATTTTAAAGAAGAACATTTTTCGGTCGCTACCCGGCTTCGAACCCGGGACCTTTGAATGAGAGGCCAACACCTTCACCTCTCGGCCACGAGAGCCCCCATATATATATATGTATGAGTAGATAGATAGATAGATAGATAGATAGATAGATAGATAGATAGATAGATAGATAGATAGTGAGATCGACAATTGTAGAGCGGATTACTATTCTTCTTCTTCTTCTTCTTCTTCTTCTTCTTCTTCTTCTTCTTCTTCTTCTTCTTCTTCTTCTTCTTCTTCTTCTTCTTCTTCTTCTTCTTCTTCTTCTTCTTCTTCTTCGGGGGCTCTCGTGGCCTAGAGGTTAAGGTGTTAGCCTCTCATTCAAAAGTCCCGGGTTCGAATCCGGGTAGCGACCAAAAAAATTGTCTTCTCTAAAATTGTCTCCTTTCACCTCCTTTCCTGCTCTCTAGCAATGTTCTGTTGTCTGCTTTCATTTCCACTTTCTGCCCCCACCCCCTCACCTTCTTAGCCCCTCCTCTGGGCTCCTGACTCTTTCTGCAGCCTTTCTACTGCTACTCCTTGGCTCCTCCTTACTGCTGTCTTTCTGCCACACCCCTGATCTTCTGGTAGGAAAGATCTACACCTAGCCTTCTCGGACAACGGCGAAAAATCTTGGAGAGCCCGTGTGCAAGTTGTGCACGTTACAGATCCCTTGGTGGTCTAAAATCGATCAGAGTAGTCGTAGGCCGCCACCCGGGCAAAATTTCCTACCAACTGAAAATGTTTAATGTGTCCCACGCGCTCTTATGCAGTTGTGAGCGTTAAAGATCCCTTGGTGGTCTAAAATCGATAAGAGTAGGCTTCGCCGCCCCCCGTGCAAAATTCAAAATTTCCTACTTACTGAAATTATTAGGTGTGTCCCGCGCGCTCATTTGACCTTATGCAGTTGCGAGCGCCGTAAAACACTTTACAAAAACAAAAAACAAAAACAAAAAACAATCTTCTCCGCTTTTTCCTTCTTCTTCTTCTTCTTCTTCTTCTTCTTCTTCTTCTTCTTCTTCTTCTTCTTCGATTCCGCGCTTCAGATCGTCGAAGCTGCTATACACTTTTCTCCCCGGTGGTGTAGCATTACCGTGTCTGCGCATGTTCGGTTAATACCGGCAGTTGTCCGGCCTATCTATGTTATAAAAAGAATTAACAGACTAGGCAATTACGGTTTAAAAAAAGAAGAATATTAATTTTTTAAAAAGTAAAATTTGTGATCTTCAAAGCTTGCAGGAAAAATATTCACCCGCTAACCATTTTGTTAATTTCATGACGCTGGTTTCGATTTTGATACAATGTTTACGATAGGACATACTTTTCAACAAGTTTATAAATAGAACATTTCTTGTGGGCGCGCCCCAGACCGTGTACCTGCCTGGCTGCCATCCGCCGACGAAAAGAAATGAATAAAACTGATGTTTTTCACGCCCTCGTCGACACGATGTAGATTATTTAGGAGGCAGGCATCCAACACTGTCTGTCAGAGCCAACCAGAGCTGAGAGAGATAGACTGCGACACCCCAAAAGTGACAAGATAAGATAAGATAAGATAAGATAAGATAGGATAAGATAAGATGAGATAAGATAAGATAAGATAAGATAAGATAAGATAAGACATGTCTTTATTGTCCAGATCATTGCACATTGGTTTGGTCTTCCACTATGTACACACACACACACACACACACACACACACACACACACACACACACACACAAACACACACACACACACACACACACAAACACACA